AGTTTAGGGCCTACTCACTACCATTTGAAAAATAAATGTACGCTTAATATATCCAAAAACATTCTTACTCATAAAATGTTGTCCATCCTGTTTCATCACTCTTCGTTGCTAAGAGACCACTGTTTCCGTTATATGTCATTAATCCGAGCTCCAGGGTCTGTGTTGAGACTAGCTTGAGTCCACCATTAGTGCCAACAGCCAGCGTGACAATCTGATTATCCGGCATCAGTAAATGGCGGGGCATCCCACTGGCATCTCGTCGGACCTTCAAGGAGTTGCCATTGTTGTCCATCACCTCCGTGACATCGTTATCGCTGCTATAGGTGAAATTGTACAAGTACTCCCCGGTAACAAGGCTGAGAGTGTACTGGTGAATCCCGTCAGCATTGAAGACATACAGCTCCTGTTCTCCTGGAGATGCAGCTTCATATTGGTTAAAAGAATTAAGAATGGGCCTGTTTTTACTGACAGCCCTAATGCGGATATTTCCAAGATCAGCTATGTAGATGGTACCGTCTGGGGCCACAGCTAAGGAAGATGGTGAATTTAAGATGGCATCAGTGGCATACCCATCATCCCCAGAATAGCAATTACAGTTGACATCATTTTTGCAATCACAGTCTGAAGCTGCCCCTGCAAGAAGGCATATTTCTCCATTGGTAGTTACCTGGCGTAGCCGATTAATTTTTTTTTCATCTGTCTCACTGATGTAAAGAACTCCTGTGTGTGAGATGGCAATGGCACTGGCTGATTCAAGTGCAGAATGAATAGCCAGTTTGCTAAGAGAGTAGTCTATACCAGGAACCTGGCAGTGCATGGGGCGTCCAGCAATAATGCTAACTTGATGATTTTCTGTGATCCGTAAAATAACATTGTTCTCTAGGACATAAAGTGAGTTGTCCATGGGATTGACAGCGAGATCAGTAGGCCACTCCAGCCGTACCTATGAGTTGCACAAATTATTACTGTAAAACTCATAACTGAAAAGTACACTCCTAGTGTTTAAAATTCCACGTGTAACAACAGCAAATTAGTGAGGGGTTTATCAGCGTAAATCATGAAACCAAGTCATGAACGGCAACTATTTCAAACAATCATTTTGGTTTTCGGAAATATTAAAGCTACGTGCAGTGGTAACTTTGGCTAATTGTGTTTCTGTGCAAAGAATGAATGCTACATTGTGGAAGCTCTACAATAATTACAGAAAAACAGGCAATTAAGACAACAACTCCCATTATCTCAACCTTATTTCTCTATAGTTGCATAAATAAGCTGTGTTAGCCACAGTAAAAGGATGGTTCACTCATTTCAGTAATGAATCAAACATGCTATCATCTTGTGCTGCATAATGTATTTATTAAGTGGCCAGGCAGTCATCCAAAATAAATGCCCAACTCTTCTAAGGCAGAGAAGAAAATAAATGCAGTAAGAGTCTACCTGGGTGACATCCATGCTGGAATCGCAGCTGAGAGGTCGAACAGCAGTTAGGTCATTGGAGCCCAGCAGGGTTGATATAATTCCGTTCTGATCCACTTTTCTAATCATAGTGGCATCAACAAAGTACATGAGTCCGTACTTATCCACTGCAATTCCTGCAAATATGAAAACCAGGCATCAGTGAAGCAGTGTGGCTCCTAGCTTCAAGGCAGGCCTTGTCTTATTAACAAGTTTACAACATGGTGACGTTTGTTCTCTTCCCCTGTTCTTTCCTGCCTTCCAACCTGAGCACAGGTCCTGGAACTCTCCAAGTACCTGTCGTTCTGCTGAATAAAAGGCATCAAAGCAGGTTTATCCTTTGGGGCTTTAAAGAAAAGAAAACCACAGAAATCTTGAAAATATGCTGAAGAGCCAACAGAATGCATCAGCTTATTTCTAAGTTCACTTCCTTATCTTCTAAACTTCTATGTAAAGACTTAAAACATGCAAGCAGCTCTGTCCTGTTAATGTACTCTGTATGTATTAACTGAAACTATTACTTACACAAAGAAACAGGACCTTTCATTTTTATTCGCTTTTACAATCTTCTAGTTATTTTCAACCATTGAAATAAAACACAAAGATGTTTGAAACACCTGGCAATACACCTGATTAATTCATCCTTACAATTAAGATGAAACAATGGAAAAAAAATCTTGATAAGAAACGCATCTCCAAATATCTACATCATCTTGAAATCTTTTTGTTAAAAATCAGACACTGGAGATGGCAAAAATCCTTTTATTTTTCCTCCGTCTCTGAAGAAAAAGGGGATACATAGAATAAAAACTCTGACAAAAGCCACAGCAGGCAGTTTTTCTCCCCACAGACTGTATCTCAAACAGTAATTTGTTTCCCAGTTTACACGCTTGCTTCTTGGAGTGAGCGGTACCCTGCTAATTTGTGTTCTGTTCTCCTTTTGCAGCATTCAGTGTCGGGGTAATAAAGTTTGCTTTAACTAAACAAAGCACGAACACTTGCCAATCCACTGTAATTAAAGCCCAGAATAAAAATTACCGAGCAAGGAGTGATTTAATTGCCAGATAATTATTTCCACATCCAGCCTAGCCTCACGCAGTCATTTTCTCCAGCTTCTTTTCCTACTTTACCTCGAGGGCTCATTAGGGTTGCGTCCACTGCCTTCCCTCCATCCCCACATCTGGCTTCGTCAAAAGGCAGGCATTGCTCTCCAGTCCCCGCTACCACTTCGGAGTTACCAGCTAGGTCTTTTGTGCCTGTGAGGGACTTGACTTTGTATATCCGTCGACTATTGGTGTCTGAGACGTACAGCGAGCCTGAAACAGGGTCCACGGCCAGATAGTATTTATGAGCAGGATTGTTGCTTTAGAGAAAAAGAAAGCATAAAACAGAAACAGCTGAGTAGTCTAGAAACTTCACAGGCTTTCAGAGCTTAGATACTCATCAGGCACAGAGAGATCTGGAAAGAAAGTCTGACACCTTCCTACAGAGGTGAGGTCTGAAGGACTTCCATCTGAGGACCTAACTTGATTAGGGCCTGGCCAGTGTTTCAGAAGGATTGTCATTTTAAATCTCATTCATCCTGCTACCCAAAACCTTGCGCAGCAGAGCCCGATAAGCCAAAGCTGCACAGCAGACTTTGCTCTTGATCTCTTTAGCCCTTTAGATCTGCTGCAGGTCAATTCTCTTCGGCTTATCTCTACTTGTTGTCCCCCGTCCCCGCCACCTTGTTTAACTTCCCTTGAAAGCAGAAGTCATAGGAGTAAGATCAAAGATTCAGCTTCCGAGTTACTTATATTATGCCACAAGACTTGTGAGGTCTTGTATAAATGGGAGGCAGAGGCATAACAAATTTATTCCTAAAGCAAATTTGCTCTCATTCATTTTTATCAAGAATCTCATTTACGGCAGATGAAGTTGGTTATATAACTAGAACCAGAGACCCCAAGTGTCTGACTTTAACTCCAAACCTTCTGTTATTGAAAAACTGGTCCTCAGTTTGCGATTAGAATGGGTGCTCATATGGAAAGCTACTTCTCTTCTGAAATATATGTTTTTTGACAGCTTGTCACATTTTGGAACTACTTTCGCAAATCATCTGCAAATTGAGAAACGTCAATCTTAGCAATATATATACATTCACGCACAGAGAACTTCAGTGCAGAAATATTTTCAAAATCTTGCCTGGCTAGTTTAACTCAATTTAGTTGGATTTTAAGCATGACGTGAATTTTCCAGCCTTTGGAGCCTATGAGTGAGTGTAAATAAGGTCAATGGTGGTTTCAAAGCATAGAAGACAAATGAAGACAGCAAGAAAAAAAATGAAGGTTACTTACCAGTAACCAGAGATATTTGCCTCCAAATATCCACACTCCTAGCTTCATGTGGCAAAAGTGCCCATCTCCAAGAGTGAGGATACACAGAGGTAAGTTATGATGGACATAAGCCATTTCTTGATCAGACTCGCTGAAATTATAGTAAGGCCACTTTCGGCAGATGGATTATCAGCAGCACAAAGACAACTGCGTTCATGTCGTCATGACCAGATTTGGAGGAATGAGGATGCCCAAAAATATCACTTTCTACAGTTATCTTCCTCTATGCCAGTCTTTGATGTGTCATGATTTTAGGTCAATAACAGTTTGTTCTAAAACTGTAGAAAGTAGGAAGGAGATTGGTGCGATCAAAATTCAGTAGGCAGAGGTAATACCATCTGCTGAAGTCTAGGAGTGTAGAAATTAGAGATGAAAAAATACAGTAAACAAAAAATACTTGGCAGGTTTATTTCATGCATGGATCTCAAAGTACTTTAAAAAGACGGGTATTATACCCATTTTACAGAGGAGGAAACTGAGGCACAGAGAGGTTAAGTGGTGTAGACAAAGTTATGCAGGGAGACTAGTGACATGCTTGAGATTAGAGCACAATCTCTTTATTCCCCAAGTTCCTCTCCTTATCTTCAGCACCAGACTGCACCTCTTCGCTAGACCCTCATCACATTCCTTCTCATCCCTCCAAAACAAAGCTTCCTCTTCGTTGACACATGGAAAATTATTTCTTTCCGCTTACAAGATTTCTCCAGTCTCTCGAGTATCTGAGCCACACAAACACCTGCACATTTGTCACCGTTTTGCAATTCTGGTCTCTTCTTCCACCATGCTTTTCCCTTAACACTGAAGAACAAACTTTGCTGTGTCACTGGAGTTGTGCCGTGCTTCACAAACACACCCGAACTGAGCTCAAGGCTTTGCGACAGCAGCAGATGAGCCAGCAAGCGAGTGCTGCTGCTGCATCCCTCCCGCAGGGCTCCGGCCCAGAGCACCTTCTGCCTGGCCCTTGTCCCACACGTGGCACCCCACCTCGGCCGAATGGGGACACCTCAGGCAGGTACAAACTGGAGCTGAGCACAGCCATTGCTGCGGGAGGCAGGGGCCTTGCTTGCTCTCAGTGATGTCTGCTGCTCACAACGGTGCCTGCGGGAGCTGCTCTGCTGCCTGACATGGAGCAGCAGCCACCAGCGAAACTGGAAGGATTCCTCTTTTTTTCGGACATGATTTTGCCAGCTTGTACCTGCCTTCCCGAGTGAGCACACCCCTGCTTCCCTTCTGTCCACATTTAGCCTTGGGTATGTTCCACTGTTACCAGGATAGGATAAGGCATGAGTCAGAATAAAGAGCAATGGCAGAACATGGGCTTATTTCCCTCTCCTCTCCTGCAGTCATTGGTGTCCATGGAGCTCACCCTGCCTTCCTTCTCTGGAATCTCCCTCAGGGCAGTTTTACCAGGGAGTCAGTCATGAGCTTTTGTTCCGGATCATAGAATCATAGAATAGCTTGGGTTTGAAGGGACCTTAAAGATCATCCAGTTCCACCCCCCCTGCCATGGGCAGGGACACCCTCCACTTGCCAAAGCCTCATCCAACGTGACCTTGGACACTTCCAGGGATGAGGCACCCACAACTTCTCTGGGCAACCTGTTCCAGTGCCTCACCACCCTCAGAGGGAAGAATTTTTTCTTAATATCTCATCTAAATCTCCCCTCTCTCAGTTTAAAGGCACTACCTCTTGTCCTATCACTTCAAACCCTTGCAAAAAGCCGCTCTCCAGCTTTCTTGTAGCTTTACATACTGGAAGGCTGCTAGAAGGTGTCCCCAGAACCTTCTCTTCTCCAGGCTGAACAGCCCCAGCTCTCTCAGCCTGTCTCCATAACAGAGGTGCTCCAGCCCTCGCATCATATTCGTGGCCCTCCTCTGGACCTGCTCCAGCAGCAGCTCCATGTCCTTCTGATGTTGGGGGCCCCAGAGCTGAACACACTACTGCGGGGAGGACTCACAAGAGCAGAGCAGAGGGGCAGAATCCCCTCCCTCGACCTGCTGGCCACGCTTCTTTTGACGCAGCCCAGGATACGGTTGGCTTTCTGGGCTGCCAGAGCACATTGCCGGCTCATGTTGAGCTTCTCATCAACCAACACCCCCAAGTCCTTGTCCTCAGGGCTGCTCTCAAACCATTTTCAATCCAGCCTGTATTTGTGCTTGGGATTGTCCCGACCCACGTGCAGGACCTTGCACTTGGCCTTGTTGAACTGGAGGTTCACACAGGCCCACCTCTCAAAAGAGATCTGGGAGCAACTCTCTGGAGCTGCAGACTTGTTGTATATCCCTTTTCTCTTCCCTGAGCTTGGTAAAGGAACAGACAGTGTAAGCCTCTCCATGTAAAATATTTGAGGTACTCTGGCAGAGGACTGGTGGAAGGTGACATGCACTCACTGTGTCCCCAGAGAACCTCAACAGGGATGCATTTTATAAGTGACTAGTACATATTTCTCAAACTGGCACCTGAGCAATTAAAGACCTCTGCCTCTCTTTTCTCCAAGCCAGTGTAATCTTTTATGTAAATTACAGACAGCCAAACAATGTACCTTGTTTTGAAAGATTTTCCATAACATTTGGTATTGCTTAGAGGCCTCTGCCAATCCTGTCTCCTCCTCTAGCCCTCTCGGTGGATGCAGCAGTTACCACCAGATGCAGCCTTACTCTGGTCTGTGTGGGAGTCTGGTGCCTGACAACAAGTACAGGCAGCATCACCTTGTCCTCACTATCCTTCTCATACGTGCATCAAATTCACAACAGTGCAACAATAGCTTTTCTTTAAATTTAACCAAATAGAGAAGCTGCCCAGAACAAGTCTCTAAGAACCTGAAGAATTAACTAAGCTTACAGTTGCGAATAAGGAGCCTCCAGCACCACCAATAATCATTAGCAAACTGTGAACGGATTCATCCAGATAAAAAAATTTGGTCGAGTTGCACTTGCTATACCAAAACATATTGTAAAGGGGAAATGATACTGTTTAGTCCAGACATCGTTTGCATCTAACTTGTATTATAGAAATGGAAAGTATGGTTTTAAAAGGGGGATACGCAGGACACTATGGAATAGTTTACAACAGCTCTTCTTGTTCCTGCCCTTGATATTCTCCAGGGTAAACATCCTCGCCGTCCCAGGTGTGGCCTGAAAAAAGCTACAAGCATTTCCTATGCCATCCAGAAGGTCTAGTGCTCAGGTGAGATGATGAAAAATCTTTTCTCCTAATGTCTGGAAAGGTTACACCTCCCTCATGAACCTTACAGCGACTGCATCTAGTGGTTGCATACAACCAACCTCACTAGTCGACTGACTGTTAAATGTATTTGATGAAGGAAAATAGAAACTAAATTACGAAAAAGGACAGAGGGTTCAGAAAATCATTAATGACCGGAAAATGAGGTTTTGACCTATTTGCAGTCATTAGTGCTTTTGTGAACCTTTCTGGCATTTATAAAACTGCTGTTGTAGTTTACCTCAAACATTTAGACCAATTATAGACAGCAGGGAGAAGTGTTTATATAGAAGTTAGCTTGGGGTTCATTATACTTGCATTCTACTAGAAATTTCTAATTACTGTCGGAACTTATTTGGTTGCTTTTTGACTGCATTTAGTAATTGCTAACGCTTATCATATTCATAACACACAATTAGCACATAAAATGTTTCTATATATGGTACATGGAGAACATAACATTACACAAGAAGCACAACACAAAAAGCAAACACAATGAAGCAAACAAACCATATCAAATTATATGGGAAAGAGCTCGTGTCTTACCTATGTTTAAACTCTTTATTTCTTTATAGAAAGGGAACAGAAGAAAAAAGAACAAACAGTTAGCTGAAGAATAGATGGTAAAGCAAACATAGTATTTGTTTTATTTTACAAAAGGACACAGGAGAAGATATCTCTTTTCAGCACTAGCCTTAGCTTGGGTTACGGATGAGGAGTGGCTGGAAGAGCTAGAGTTGCAAGCTGGTTCCCTAGTAGGATACCTCTGCCCCCAGCCCACCCCCCGCCCCATATATTTTACAGGAAACTTTCTGGACCACTGAAAGAGTTTTCACATGGAAATACGTGTAGCTTGTGGGCTAGGAGTGAGAGAAGCTAGCAGTTTTCTGAATACAGAACTGGGAAGGGGGAAACACTGGTCTTAGGATATTGTCCGCCAGTTGGGGTCAACCTCTTTAATCAAAACAGTTTTCCAACGGGCTATTTCTAAACACATTTCTACTATACCGTTTATTTTCTTCTCCCTCCAGTCTCTAAAATAATTGCTTAAAGAAAGTATGGATGTTACTTGGTACCTATTTAAGCCCATCAAAGCAAATCTTAAGGTAAAAAACCCCAACCTTCTAAGTGAGCAGTAATATACTATAAAATAGGAGAGAGATAGCATTAATTGATCCCTCGCTTAACTTTGACACAAAGTCAAAAGAAGTGTCCTCTGCTTTCCAGAAGTGAATTAATACATTCTCCACACCACAATGTTTCACTGTGTTTATGTCATTTCCATTGAGGAATAGCCAGTGAATGAAACAAAGAGGTGCACGACTCCTGAACTGCACTACTCGATGCACAGCCCCAAACTTGCAATACCGACATTAAGTGTGACGTGCAACACTCTTGAGTCAAAATTCCTCTCAGCCACCCAGATCAGGCACCTTCAAAAAGGACAGTGTGAAGCAAATATGCACACTGGGATATTCTGACTTATAAAGTTAGTCAAAATCTACATTGGCTGTTGTAAAACCAAAATTACGTCCACTGTGAAATCTAAATAAAGTGACATATTTGGTTTGTAATAGTTATGGACATACTATTGCAACGTTATTCGAGCTACTTGATACTAGCTGAAGACTGCTCTCGTTCACACTTACATGGCTCAACTCTTCAAACTCTTCCCATGTAACTCATACAGATTTTAAGATAACCACTGAATCACAATTACTGCTACTGATGTTGTTTGCTGGAATGGACCTTAACTCCCTTTAGAGGAACTAGGGGCAAAAGACATCCCTGCAAATGCTAAAAACCTGCGTGTCAAGTCAAAACCTGTGTGACAAATGTGTCAACATGTGTGCTGTCCAACAGCACTCAAAATACAACAGCTTTATTGTTCATTGCTGTATAGTTATGACAGAAGCTAAAGAAGCTACGCTATGGAAAACAGACTTTCATAAAAGAAAAGAGAAAGTGGACAAAAGCAGATTAAGAAGTTTATCTTCTGTTTCTTTACTGATGTCCTTTCCCATTTTCCCTTACACGGGCTGAAAAGCCCAAGTTCTCTCTTGCATAGAGAAAGGAAAGCACTCAGACTAATGGGCTACGACTAACATTTTCAAATATCCGGTGTGCTAGGAAACTTTGTCACTGGCTGATATTAGGAAGAGAGGTGCATATAAACGCCTTATATTAAGTACCCTAATTCAAAAATGTTTCTCTTCACCTATAAAGCTGTAGTCCTATTTACTAGAGAGCTAAACAGACTGGACAAGCTAGAAAAAAAATCAGCATATTCTATCTAATGCAGAGTTATAGTGTATATTGATATAAGTATTTATAGCAGGTCACACATCCATACCAGCTACCTTCTGTGGTTTATGCTTGGTTGCTGGCAGAAAGCACTGGATGATCTATGACTTTTTTTTAAGATATAATGAGGCAGCCTGATGGTGTATGAGGTAGGTGTCAGAGAGTGATTTCAGAGTAGAATTGGCCTGAATCAGATCTCTTTTCTCTTATATAAATCAGAATTCACAACAGTGACATCAACAGAATGACATGAATGGAAGAGAGGTGTAAAATAGAGCTAGGCCTCCTATTGTCTAACAATTCAATCATTTTGCACTTTTTCCCACTAATTAAAAACTAAAAAGTACAGTGGAAGCAGAGGAATTGGTTATTAGCCAATCATTAAAAAAAGGCTAATGACCTAAATTCACCCAATGTACTCTGCAATGTACCATCCAATTTTCAAGAGCGCTAATCCTCCTGCCTGAGTGGGCTGCAGAAGTACCAGAAGACAGCCAATACAAACTATTTTTCCTCATTTTTCTGCAAATACTCAACAATGCTGTAACTATAAGGTCCAGTTACATGAGTTACACTTCGAAGCAATAGCTCTTGCCTCTCCTAGAGGAATGAAAAAAGGAGATGGAACAGAAAAGGGCGAAGTGGTACACTCTACACTCATGCCTTCCCTACTAAGTGACCAAATCTTATGGCAGAGGGAGGGGATGTGGGGCACATGGGACAAGGGAACAGAGATACAATCTTAAAAAGAGTTCTAATGATGCAAAGTGACTCTCTATGTCAATCTTAACTGCACTTGCCAACCTACAGAAATAGACTTATGAGCATGGGAAAGAAGTGGGAAAACAGCTCTCAAAACCATTGCTAGGAAAACCTTCCTTCTAACCTTGGAAGACTGTTACACCTTTGCTTATCGCTGTGGCTCAATGCCTAAGGGCAGTCGATTCTGTAGTTTTCAAACAAAACTAAATGATGTAAAGTACTGAGAGAAGATTGTATCCAATGATCACCAACAGGACAGAAGAAGGTGGTTTGTACTCTTTAGTCCTTCTCTATAGTCACTGCTCTGGTAAGCTACAGACTTTGAACTATGCATTTCTGTGCCCCATTTCTCCACTGAAATATAAATATGTTGAAAGTGACAATGTTTTACAAAATTATAAAAAGTAATGGTAAAGGCTGATTTGAGCACAGGCTACAGAAATGAAGTGCTAAGATTAACACCTTACCTCAGCTCCAATATACTAGTAACATTCCTGGATGGGAAGATACGCCGAATATAGTTAAAATCCCCAACAAAGAGACTTCCATCAATACCCACTGCCAGTGCCACAGGGGCCAAAAGCTTATTTCCTTCTGCCAGACCATTGCAGCTGGGACAGGATATGCTTCTTCGACGCCCATTCCCCATAATGCTGGTTATCACGGCCGGCTGCTGAGTTAGAAACTGATTTTCCCCATTGCCTTTGTGCAATATACCTAATAACGAAGAGGAGAGGAAGTGGTTATTACAATCATTCATTGCAGGGGGTTCAGGTAGTTCTCTTTTCAACAGCTGCTGTTAAGGACTGTACATCGAAACAACTCCAGCACTTGGTTCTTCAATGGCACAAAAAGAGTGACAGAGCTTTGCAGCAGTAAAAGTAAAGGTGTAATGAAGATTAAAAAACACACACACACATACACAACCACAGACCCAAACCTAAGTTCAGAGTCCTTTGGTATTCATTATGAAAAGAAATGCTGCCATAGATCCCTCTGGCCTGGCACAATGGTTTAGACTGTCTTATTAACTGGGAAGTGAGAAGGCAAAGAGTGGAGGGGGCATGTTCCTTATTTGCATCCCTGGATCCTCTCACTCCAGTTCCTTGTGTTACGTTTTGTTTGGAATTTTGCGCCAACCTTATGTTCACTTTCCACCTCTCAGTCTTTCACATTTTTTTCATGGAAAATGGAAAATGAGAAATGGAGATGCCAGAGAAGAGGACAGCACAGAAAATGAAAAGATGGGAGAAGGAAGAAACTCCTAGAAGGGCTGCTGAGGATCAGTGATGAAAGGCAAGAGGGAAGCTAGTGGTAATGACCTTTATTAGGCTTCAAGAAATGCCTTTAAGATAGGATTTCTTTTCAAAATATTTGTTTAAAGAGCAGACCCTTGCTCCGAGAAGGGAGTGGGTTCTCTGACAGAGTGGCCATTTTCAGTGTATCAAAGATTGTAGATACTTGGCCAGAAACTTTTAGCCTCGTGTTCTTTTGGAAATGCAGTTATAGATGATCCTCATTTAAAACAACTGGCTCCCAACTGGTGACAACAGTGAATATCATGCACTATCCAAATGGCTATCTCGACAGCGTTTGATCCACTGCACAACATTTAAATTGCGTTCAAATAGCCTGTCTGGCCTATTCTGAACACTCCTGTAGATTTCTTGAGCAACAATAGAGTTTGCAATTTGTTAATGCTGGGATCAGCAGAGAGGGTGTAGAAAACACTTTACAGGGATCAAATGAAAAACATGCTAGGCATTCAGCTCCCTAAGAGTCTCTCATAAAATATGAAGACCAGGAACCTTCAGCTTAGGATATGCAAAGACAAGGAGAAATGAGGAAAAAACAAAGAAGTGACGAAAGAAAAAGACAAATGAGGCTCAGTACCTCGTCACAGACTCATACGCCTTTTAAGCCCCATCTCAGATTAGAGGGAAAAAGGTCAAACAAGAGGAACCAGGAATGGATGTGGTTAAGATCAGAAAAACAGGGAAGGAAGACAGAAAGACATTACAGGGGAATAAAGAACAGAATAGAGGATAAAGATTTGGACTTTAAGAAAGCCATGCTATGCAGAACAGTAAAATATCTGTTGAAATTCTACAAAAATTTTCTGACAACTGAAACATGTCCCATATCTTAGTGAGATAAAGATAAAACAAAGAAAGTGGAGAAATTGAATTTTTTAAAGTGGAAATATAATGCAAACAAAAAGTGTTCACAGACAAAACTCCATAGAGCACAGAAAACACATGGTATTAACTAACTCACCACTCTTGACGTTAAGTACATGATGTTTATCCAAAGACCATCCTCCTAGATTTGAAGGATCTAGTTCAAATCCTTGAAGCAGTGCTGTCCTCTTCTCCCACAAAATGAGACTGGGGCAAGTCTCATATTCAAAACCCACAGAAACTGAAATAAATAAAATAAAATCTAATATACTTGCTGAACAAACACTGAATTAAATGTCCAGAGCACATTCAAATCATTCAGCATTCCAGATCCCCAGCCCCCTCAAGAAGATGGAGTGATTATATTCCTCTCTTTTATTATACAATATTAAATTCAAATCTTTGACTAGACACAAATGTGGAACTTCATTCACATGTACTCTGCAGGGATCTGATCCCTTCTCTTTGAATAGCTGGCACTGGGAAGTGACAGGTTTGGTGAAAGCAAGAAATACAATTTCTAAAATATAATAAAATTATTCTATCTATAACAGGGCAAGATCAAACTCTTAATTTGTCAGATGTTCACAACATTTATTTAGTCTGTTCGTTTTACATACCATATACCAAGGAGCAGTGAAAATTTTGTGTGCTTTTAAGCACACACACAGTGTAAGGATTACTCAGGAAAGCAACACCTTATGCAATAATGTAAGAAAGAAAAGCTGTAGCAAAGCAGATGTTAGAAAATATAGAAAAGAAATAAGATTTTTCAAGTAAACTGGCACATTTTTTAGCACTGTTGTATCAAAATTGTTCTGATATTCAAATGAAAATGAAAACTTTAAAAATATTATGATGATCACTCTTCCCACTCACTAGAACCAAGTGAACTAAGGCACGTATAGAACTACAAGACTGAACAGCATTAGGAAAACACCGTTTTCATTTCAAATGTATTATACCACAAGAGGCTATATTCAGAATATATATTCAGAATTATATTTTCAGCATGCATGAAAATCCAAATGCACTGAAGAATGCCAGCCAGTTCAGCATGAGGGTCATTTGTTAACTGAAAGAAAATAAAAACATAGTGACAGACTAGGTTTCATCTAAGTTCTGGTGGCTGGTTTTTCGCATTGTCTGGTCTAAGTCTTCCAAGTCAGGTATCGATCAGGAAACACAGGGATGTTGATGAAGTTTAGACGCTCTGAATGTGATCTTTAATGTGTAAAAGAAACATAATACAAAGATAAATTGTGTCAGGAAGACAAGAGCTGGTTTAGTCCATATTTGCTTCTCCATAAGAAGTCTTTGCAGTTTTCTTATGAAGAATTAGAGGCGTTATTTGGAAAGTTTCAGATCTTGTATGTGCTGACTTACCTACAGCATCTGACAACCCATAAACCTTCTGACCATATGCATCTGTTTTGTCCCAGATAAATGTATATGCCAAGTTGGGAGATGCCTGAAATGATTTTTGAAACAGATGCCCTTCTACTGCTACCATCAAATGAACTTTGATTAGATTCAGCGGCACAAGTGACTGGGTCATGGCGATCTTAAGTAAGGATTTGTATCCAGCAGTACGGGAACTCAGGTAGCTGAGCTTTATACTAGAGCCAGGGATCTCAATTTCTTCATGAAGAACCTGAACGTGAAAAAAGATCAAACATTTTACCTTAGTGCTTTGATTTTGTTTTTTGTTTTTTGTTTTTTTAGAATAATATCGCCTTGCATATTCTTATGAATTTATGAATTTCTTCCACTGGAAAGGGTTATCCTCAGATCAGTGCAGTGATACAGTTCAGCTGACGTTTCTGAACACATAATTATTTGGTATCTGTGTACACTTCCTTTTAAGGGCCCACTGCTGGCAAAAGTGCAAATAAATACAAGTAGTTTTACTGCAAGTTAAATGCAAGGGGAACATGAGAAATACAGTCACAGGAACCCACAGCTTCCACTAACTGTTAGCATAAAGTAAAGACTAACTGAATAACGTAGTGAAACGACGGCACCAGTAGAGTTTGCCTTTGTCCTAAATAGCATACAAGAAAACAGCCTGCAGTTAGCAGCACACATCAACCTTTGCAAAATTCTCTTGAAACACCTGAGCTGTCAACTGAAATACAGAGATATACTTGATATATTGTATGATAATGAGAAGGTGCAAGGCATTCAAAGATAAATGTGTCTGGGTGACGTAAACCTAGGGTATCGCCCGCAGACCTCATTAGAAAACCCAGTACCTGTCAGAATGAATGCAACTCTACAGAGGCGTTGCTCCAGCAATGCCAGGGGACACACGGTGACTCTGTGTAAGTGCTCAGGTCAGCACTGCGTCTGACTACTGATTTCTATATCCTTTTCACGCACACTGTTCTTACCTGTGTTTCTGGTACAATAGGATTCCGGCCAGGAGCATCACTGAAGAAAGTTGAAAGTGGTGATGAAATGATGACTGGATCAGGACGGACAAAACCACTTAGATCACAGCTGGGAATGGAGTTCTCCTCTGTCTTCATCACAAGCGTGTCCATGGCATAGAAGCTATTCCAAGGCAACCATACTGTCCTTTCCTGACTCAGAAATGGGGCCCGTTCAAAGTGCAAGGTTAGGGATGCTCCACCGTTTGCAACCAAGTCAAATCTAGAAAAATGTGGGCTTTAGAAGTGACAAGACTGAATAATTCCAGTAATAGCATTCCTGGCTAATGAAGTAAGCATATAGGTGAATGTTGTGCTTCAAATGATCAGTAAGACATGTGAGCCTTAGCAACTGAACAACTGAAATCCAGCCCAGACAAGCATTGATTTGAAGTCACCCAGACAAATCTTGTTCCTATATATTATAAAATCTGCACTAAATAATTAAAAAATACCCAACAAACAAACCACCACATTTATTATTACAAGTCACCTTTATGTATAAAACCAGCAGAGAAGCCAAGTTCATACTGAGCAGAACACGGATTTCTCCCTTTCCTAAAAGATGCCGTCCATCCAGCACAGAATGGGTACACATGGCAGTAATTAAAACTTTTGCTGTTTGTGTTCTACAAATAAGATCAGAATTCCTGTCCCCAGGACAACTGGTCTATCATTTTTCAGAGACATTAGGTACTTAGTCCCAACTGCCTACAAAACCATAGCAGTAATGTGGAGCTGTGCAGGCATTTTGAAATCTGGCCCAAACGAGTAAAATACTTCTGGGTTGTTCTGACAACAGAAGTAGGTATCAGTTGTTTCATGTAAATGCTGGCAATGTAACAAATTACTCAATGATTTCAGTAATCTGTTCAGATCTAAATACAGTTCAGCTCACTATTTACTGTAGCATTAAACCACTGAAATCAACATCATTATACTTTTATTGTAACAGAATAATATTCTGGGAAATGTGGAAATGAAATACTCCCCCCGATAGTTCAGTTGACTCATACTAATTATTTCAATTCAATTGTTTGGATGCAAGATCAAGATAAAATGGCAAATGTTTACAATGCGTGTGTCACAGATACTCTGTTTTGGTTACCGCAGCCAGTAAACGAGATAAACCATGACACGCTGATTTTTGTTTATCTGAATTTGCGTGCATTTCAAATCAGCTGATACAAGGGGGAAAAAGCCCTTTTTTGCACAGCAGGAAATTGTCTAAATATATTCAATCAGAATGTTTTGATTACATTCTACCCTGAAGAAACTCAAAAGATAGTGGATCTTCAAAAGGAAAGAGAGGTAGAAGGGAACTTTTAACAAAATATACTATTCTATAATGATACTACTTTTTTTTTTTTTTTTTTTCCTAGAAGTGTTAGCCTGCCTTGCATTTTAAAATAAAATATTTCTGGTCTCAGCTGGATATTACTGTAGTCCACAAACGTTTTCATAGATAGAGAGCCATTTATTTGAAAGGAATCTGCCTGCTAACCATTATTATCACAAGTCAGCCTTTTCATATTTACTTGCACTTAGTATTCAAAATGCCACGTGAAAAATTACTTTTGTGTTTACTTAATAGCTGTTTGCCCTGGGAGGAAAGCAATGCACATGGTTCCATTAGATCATACCATCTGTTAATCAGCAAATATACTACATATGAAACAGGTACTCAGTGAAGCAAGTAAACTCACGTGCCATCCTGACGAGTGATGGTATAGCCATACTTTGGATACTTGACAAATGACACGTTGACCCCAACTAGAGGAGTTCCATCTGTAGTCACCACTTGGCCTCTTATAAGAGACACAAGACTGAAAAAGAAAAATAATTAAAGGTATTAAAGTTAGTTACAAGGTTACACTGTTTATAAACTGAGTAGTGGAAAACTTGTGCCTCATTTACTCTAAATCCAATTTACTCCAAAGATTTTTAGAATACTGAAGACACCACGATATTGCCCAGCTCTCTCTCTATGCTTCAATGAAGAAAGCTTTGATAAGATAGTGAGGTCTGTGTACACAGAATGGGAGTTAGTGCCTTCTTTATCTAACGAGGCTTTGTCTCATTGTCTAACGAGGCTTTGAACCTGAAGTCCCTCTGAAACGATGACTGGGCACTTCTCAAAAACCTCCCTGGGTACAATAGAGTGTCCCTGGATGCCTAATACACTTGAAAAATATGGTGTAATGCCATACCTCTTTTTTATGCAACTGATTTTCCAAATCAGGGTTCACGTTCCTTCATCTTAGGGAGTGACTGATGTTTGTACACTGCATCAGTCCTGATCTGTGACCCTTGCTTTTCACTTTGTCAACAGGAGAAAGGATTTAGTTTTAAGGCCAGCTTTACGCACAGGCAAAATAAAGAGTTTTCTTAGTGAACTTTGCTTAACCTAAAGGAGATGAAGACGAGTTATTCCTGTAAGAGGCACAGTTAGTCTTCTCTTTTGAGAGTGCTTTGCTGCTGCAAAGTGCACAGCGGGCAGAAATTGCTGCTGCCTGCCTGGCTGCGTCCTCAGCCTCCCGAGCGCGGGAAGTAGCAAGCCCCACTTCTCCCTGCTCTGCTGCTCTCTGCCACGGCCCATCTGTTCCTGCCCCTCTCCTCTCACAGCTGGAGAGGAGTCTCCATCCCTGGGCTCCCTCCCCTTCCACCTTCCCTGTACGCTGAGAGAAGCAGATTGGTGAGTGGGAGAAGCTATGCAATAAAAAGGGGATGGGAAAAGGAGAAGCGCCTTGCAGATGGTTTCCATTTCTACACTGGAAACATGATCCTGGGAAACAGGGAGAAAGTTAAATCCCGCCACAACCCATAACCTCAGGGACTGTAAAATTGTCTTTTGCTTAGCCCTAGGTGAAAAGATTTCTATTTGAGCACTACACGCTTCCAGCATGGTCCACCAGCTCTCTGCTGTAGCTACAGTGAGAGCCAGAAAATGGAAAGCCCCGTTTCTGAACTGGCTGTGCTGGCAGGACCGGAGCTGGCCCTGGCCCTTCGCAGGTTTCAGGCACACCAAGAGGCACAGCCTCCTGACACCGCCTGCTCCTCGGAGCAGTCTGAGCTGCAGGACAAGGGGGTTAAAGTCAGCTGTGCTTTGCCAAAAACAGACAAAATGCCGTTGAGTTCTGGGACGGCTGTAACGCTTGCGTTATCTCCTGTGCTTGCACTTCTGAAGTGAGGTACAGATCAGAGCACATCTGTTTTCATTAGTAATACCGTGGGTTGTTTTCAGGTCTTTTCCGTTAACTCTGAAATGTTCAAGGTGCTGTGAAACAAATTTTTGATGGTGTTATACTGGCTGTTTAACAACTACTTCTGCATATTTTTATTCCAAACAAGGTGTAAAATTTTCTTCAGTATTACATAAAAAAAAACCCTTTATTAATGAAAATGTGCCATTTCTGTTACTTTTCTTTTAGAACTTTCAACCATTTCTTGACCTTCCAGGTCAATTTTTAATTTTTGAAATCAACATTTTGTAACATATTTTGAAATTTAATAGAAATCAATACCTGTTGAGAAAATCTACTCAGAATACATTGGACCAAGATAACTGTCTTGGCATTATTCACTTTGATTGGATTACTTTATGTTACAAACACACGGAAATAGTTGTAGGAAGGTAGTCACTCCAGCTTCTATAGGGGAACAGTGTAGAAAGCAGATTTAGAAATAAGTCATCATATAGCAGAAGAGAACTAATAATGTTCATGACTTGTTTTTTTCTACCTTCAGTTTTATTATTTCAGGAAATAATTTGAATAAGCAAATTTTGGCCAGTAATCTTCCTTTTTACTTCTAAAAAGCCAAAATATGTAACATAATGAATATTAAAATCTGTAGCTAAAATCTGAAATCACAGAAACAATCAGTGAAATCTAAATAATGCAATCAATGCATTTTGTTAGCTATTGCTTTAGCAAGCTAGGAAATAACTTCTTTTTCTTATACTGGAAAAAATCATAACCACTATTTCATCCCACTTGTTCATCTTTTTCAATGGAATGAGAGGTTGAGCTAAGAAAAGAGAAAGTCCATTATCTTTCACGCTATTTTTTGAGACTATGGCAGCTTCAGTATATATGAAACTTGGAGTCTAACCCTGTGGCACTTTCAAAAAGTAAAAAAATTTAGTTTTAAAACTTTCAATTTGACACTATACACTAGATTTGCCTAAAATTGGTACCAAAAATAACAGCTGAGCTGTAGAATTCTCAAAAGCACCTTCACGACTTAGAGGCTAAGACCCATTTTAAAATGTCATTAATATGCCATTTGCAAAGATATGTTAAAATACATGACGTACTTCAGAT